GTGACTCCCTCTCTCTCTGCCCCTCCCCCACTCATGCAAGCGCGCGCGCGCTCTCTCTCTCTCAAAAATAAATAAATAAATAAATAAAAATAAAAAAGAATGAAATTTTGCCATTTGTAACAAGATGGTTGGACCTAGAGGGTATTGTGCTAAGTGAAATAAGTCAGAGAGAGAAAGACAAGTACCATCTGATTTCACTTACATGTGGAATCCAAAAAACAAAACAAATGAACAAACACACAAACAAAAAACAGAAACAGACTCATAAATACGGAGAACAAACTGGCGGTTGCCAGAGAGCATGGGGGTGCGGGAACAGGTGAAGGGGATGAAGAAGTACCAACTTCCAGGGTCACCTGGCTGGCTCAGTCGGTAGAGCATGCGACTCTTGATCTCAAGATCATGAGTTCAAGACCCACGTTGGGCATGGAGACTACTTTGAAAAAAAAAAAGAAGTACAAACTTCCAGTTATAAAATAAGTAAGTCAAGGGGATGAAAAGTGTAATATAGGGAATATGGTCAACAATATCATAATAATGTTGCATGGTGACTGGTAAGCATTGAGTAATACGTAGTTGTTGAATCACTATGTTGTACACCTGAAACTAATATAATGTTGCATGTCAACTATACTTCAATAACAAATAAATAAACAAAACAAAACAAAAAAAACAACGGCCTGGCTGTGTGGCCTTGGGCAAGTTCCTGCCCCTTTCTGTGCACTGAGAGGTGGATCAGCAGATCTTGAATGCCTCTTGCAATTCTAGTCTCTCTCATTGCCTTCTTTGTTTTCAACACCCTTGTCTTTCCCCTTATGAAGGGATCCTTTCTGAGGAGGTGCTACGGGCTGTTTGTACATTGTTCCTCAGAGCACCTGCCAATGGCCTTTGTCTGGACACTTGACCTTTCTGAGGATGTATGGGGAGCCCTGGGCCGAGGGAAAGAGGCAAGTCCTACCCTTCTTCTGCGCCCCCACCCCCCAGCCTGAGAATGTGATGTTGTCTCCCCTCCTTCCACACCCTCTGGCTCCCTAGGTGGGTTTTCCTGCCCTGGTGTCTGAGATCCCTGGCAGCTAGCTCCCTGTACTCAACACACACACACACACACACACACACACACACACACACACAGGCTGTCCCCTGCCCTGATGGCCACTCTGGCTGAGCCAGGTCTTGGGTCCTGAACCAAGCTCCTAGAGTCTAGGGCTTCCCAGTGGGTGCCGGCAGAGGCCAATGGAGCTTCTTTTCTAATAAAGCTGACTCCTCTCTTCCTGCCAGGGTTAGATGGGGCCCTAGCTTGCTGGGATTTGCTCTCAGAGAAGGGTCTGGCCATGGACTTGCTTTAGGGATGGGCATGATTCACAACCACCTGGTTTGGGAAGACCATACTCTTCAGAAGGGAAGGCAACTAATTGCTAATGATGTGAATGTATGATTTTCTTTCTTTCTTTCTTTCTTTCTTTTTAACATTTATTTATTTTTGAGAGAGAGAGAGAGAGAGAGAGAGAGAGAGAGCATGAGTAGGGGAGGAGCAGAGAGAGAGGGAGACACAGCATCCGAAACAGGCTCCAGGCTCTGAGCTGTCAGCACAGAGCCCGACGTGGGGCTCGAACTCACAAACCGTGAGATCATGACCTGAGCCGAAGCCGGACGCTCAACTGACTGAGCCACCCATGCGCCCCAGGTGTGATTTTCTTTCTTTCTTCACTTCTGCCTTCAACCCCTGATTTTGATTGCCTTTCCCTCCCAGCACCATGAGAGCTTGTTGCTGTCCAGCAGGCCCTGGAACTAAGAGCAGCTCCTAGAGGTCACCATCCCCACCCCCAGCCCACAGGCCTGGCCACACTGGACCTATCTGACCAGCCATCCTGTCAGGCCCCCGAGGCTTTGACCTCCAATCTGGAGTTGAACTAGAGAGAGGGGCAGCCAAGCCCGACCAAGCAGAGACCCTGATGCCCAGTGAGCTCCACAGCATGAGTGGGATTCCCCTGGCTCCTCTCTCTCCCTCTCCTGGGTTGGGCTGGGGTGGGGAAGGGCCCTCTGTCTGCCTTCCCATCCTCCAGGTCCTCTCCTCCCTTGGGGCCTCTTCCCCATCCCCAGCTGCCCCCTGGTCCTCTGTATCTTCCCATGCATCCCTCAGGTTCTTGGCCACTTTGTCCTCTGTTTTCTCTCTTGCTCTGGCTCCCTCTCCTCCTGTGTCTTTCTTTGCTTGTCCCCATCTCCGGGTCTTCACGTTGTCCTCTCCCGCTCTACCCTCTGTGTCCCTGACCCAGTTGGTGCTTCTTCTTGGCTGTTTCTCTCACTCTCCTTCCCCTCCGGCCCTGCCCTCTGCATTCATCACTACAGGCTTTGTAACCCACTTTGCAGAAATCCCCCGTGAAGAAAAAAAAAAAAGAAAGAAAGAAAGGAAAAGAAAAGGCACAGTTTGGTTTTCATCAGCGTAACAAAGCCCTGGTGGCCTGGAATGTGGCTGCAGACCTGCCCACCTCCCTGCCTCGGCCTCCCTCCCTCCAGGACATCTGTGCTGGCGGGCCCTCCCTGCGCATCAGCAGGAGGAAGCAGCTCCGAGCTCCCACCTGACTCCTCCATCAGGCCAGAGCAGAAACATGCCAGCCATGATGCGTGCCGAGGAGGCACGGCCAAGCGTGGGGACAGAGCAGGACCCCACAGGGCCCAGGGCATGTTTCCAACAGCAGTTGCGTGCTTATTACGGACTGGATGTTTGTGTTCCTTCTTATACTGAAGCCCTCACCCCCAAAGCAATTGGAGTCCTTGGGACTTGGGACTTTGGAGACCTTGGGAGGTTCAGGTCAGGTCACGAAGGTGGGCCCCCATAACAGGATCAGTGTTCTTGTAAGAAGAGGAAGAGATCAGAGCTCTCTCTGTTTGCCACGTGAGGGCACAGCAAGAAGGCGGCTGTGTGCAAGCCAGGAAGAGGCTCTCACCAAGAACGAAATCAGCTGACATCTGGATCTTTGACTTCTCAACCTCCAGAGCTGTGAGAAATAAATATCTCGTTCAAGCCACCCAGTCTAGGGTATCCTGTCATGGCAGCCCTAGAGGACTAAAGACTAACAGTTGGCCCCTCTGTGGAGAGGCAGCAGCCTGGTCAGACCTCCAGGCCCAACCTGGACCAAGGCCAGCCCCACCCTGCACTCTCCCCCCTCACCTTCGGCTTTTGTAGCCTCTGGCTTCTCCCACGGGGGCTCCCGCAGGGATGTGAAGGAGGCTCTCTGCCCCCGCGGCTGGCCTGCCGGAGAGCCGGCCTCCAACCCAGGAGCCTACATGGGCTTGGGGGACCCAGACTCGACCCCTGGCTAGCCACAAGACACCGATCCACTGTGCTCCTTGGTAGGGGAGAGCAGTGGACAGTCCAGGGCTACTGTCTCTGCATTCTCCCAGTCACTGTCTTGCCTTCCGGGAGCATCTATGTGCCTCGTCTGCTCTCCACTAAAGGCTCCTGTGTGCCTGCATGCCCTCCACTCACCACTCACGTTTCCCACCTGTACCAGGAGCCTGCAAGTGGGAGCTGCCTGAGGAGGGGGTTGTGGATTGCAAATTCCTCCTCCTGTTCCAAAGCTGAACCTGTGTCATGACGACAGTGGCTGTTGTTTTTGAACATCTAAAGCGGATAGGATCTTACAGTTCACAGAGGACTTCCTCCTACTGCATTTCATTGAATCCTCACAATAGGATGGTCCCTGTGAATGTTTTACCGAGGAGGAAACCAAGGCAACGCCACGCTGATTACAGTCAGCACAGCACTGGCCCCCTGCTCGCAGGGCTGGGAACCAGCGAGCCAGCCCTCCTGACATCCAGTCCCTGCTTGGCCAAGGATACTCTACTAACCCACAGGCACATCTTGTGCCTTCCTGTCTTTGGGCCCTTGTTTGGTCGTTCTCCTGCTAGAAATGCCCTTACCCATCCTTTTTGCTCATTTAAATCCTACTCATCTTTCGCAGCCTGGCTCGCCCCCTACTTCCGATTGAAAGCCTTCTGTCACTTCGACAGAACGAGTCTAGTTACCGTGTTGCACGTATAATCAGCACCACGGAGTTTAACAGTTGTGGCAGAGCCTGCTACTCGTCCCTCAGCATGCATTCCCCCCCTTCTTCCTCAGTCATGGGACCCCTGAATTTTAGTGGGGTACATAGTTGCCTAGACAAAAGCCTGTGTTCCCCAGTTTCCATGTGGTTAAATGTAGTCAAGTTCTAGCTGGTGGAATATAAGCAGAGTCGCATTTATGACTTTGGGGAAGAATATGTATTCATTTTTATGGCCTCCTTTCCTACTTCCTACCAGCCGGGATGCGAACACGATATCTGGAGCTCGAGCAGCCATTTTAGACCTTAAGGGTGGATACCACGTTCAAGGATGGCACAGCATCATGACTAAAGTAACTTGCGGGCCTGTTGGTCTTATTGCTGCACCACCTTCCCCACTTTATCTGAAACAATAATCAATTCCCATCTTGTTTCAATTGTTTCAACCATTGTTGTTTTGGGTGTTCGACCAGTTTAACCAAACACAATCCCACTTGGTACCAAAACAACCACCAAGTAAGTGGCATGTCCTTTGTGCCAAGTGCAGGACAAGTCAGGATTTTTTTAAAGGTGGTTTTTTTGTTTAATTTTCACCACAACCTGAAAGCTGGGTGCTAACACTAATGAATTACTTTGAGTTTCATCTCCCAAATGAGTTTTGTTCATTCCATATGCTACAACATGCTAGACACTAGACAAGGCATTGAGAATCCGGCAGTGGGTAAGATAAACTCCTTTTCTTCAAAACATTGACAGTCTCGTGGGGGAAATGAGTAAATGGAAATAACAATGCACTGTGATGACAGCAATACCGTATCATCATCTTAAGATGCCATTACTTGTACGATAGACTGTTTTTTATGTACCATCAAGAAAAATAATACTGCCATTAAACTGAGACATGATGTCTTAATAATAGTCCCATGTGACACATGAGCCAGTCACACCAACTTCTCATTACTTTGAAATTTTTTTATTATCTATTCCAAGGGATTTCGCAATTTTTCCGGGCTCCACTTGTCTTGCTTCCTATGTGACAGACCATCTTTTAGACATACCTCAGTAACGAAATGTAGCACAGCTTTATCCACTGGTATCTTCTTTTTCTCTCCCATAACACACTTGGTAGTTGCTTTGGAAGAAGCACAGACTGTGGTTATTCCTCTGATGATGAATATTTGCTCCATTAAAATCAGATTTATGCCCTGCCACTCTATGTCGTATCTTTCTTCACACGCATCAACTTTTCATTTCTCTGCTGAATCATAGCATCTTTGAAGGTGGTTTGGATGGCAGTTAAACTCAAATAAAATACCCAAGAATGCACAAAACTTTACTGAAGAGCTACGGTCAAGTTTATGCTCATGCACTCAGTGACATGCCAGTGTGGGACTGCCACCTGGGAAGGAGTGATCATTAGACACGTGACTGTAAGCACAGCTTGGTCTCAGAGATGTGAAGAGGTGAAGGAAAAAAAAAAAAAAACAAATAAAAGTGTGTCTTCCAGAGCCTGGAGGAGAGAGGACTGGGGACTGACTGCTTAGTATGTGCGGGGCTTCCTTTCAGGGTGATGGTTGATGGTTGCACACGTTGTGTGGCACTAAGTGCCACTGGACCGTACATTCAAAAATGACTACAATGGAAAATCTTATTTTCGGTATATTTTACCATAATTTTTAAAAGTATGTCTTAGATTTCATGAAAATGGTAAAACTACAAAGTTTCAAGCACTGTTCTAAGTACATGACATCCAGAATGCAGTGTGATCCCAACAACAACCTCTACCATAGCTAATAATGATCGCTACCATCTATTGGTCATGGGCCCGTTGATGACTTGGTGGGGCTTTACAGGCGCCAGTCCGCTCACTCATAACAGCCCCATCGTTCAGTCCGCTCTGCCTTAACGCTCACTCTGAAAATACAAATGTGTTCCCATATGACTGGGATATTAGGGAACGGTGTGAGCATAACGTAAGTTTCGCTTTTGCTCATGCGTGATTTCGTCCATGAGAAACTCCCCAGGTCCAGGGCTGGCAAACCACAGCCCTCCGGCTCGCAGGCTATTTCTGTACATAAAGCGTTACTGGAGGACACAAGGACACTCCTTCGTTTATGTCTGGTCTGTGGCTGCTTTCACACCACGGCAGCAGAATTGGAGTGTTGCAGCAGAGACCGTATGGTTCTGCAAAGTTGAAAGCATTTATTTTCTGGGCTTTTAAGAGAAAGTTTGCCAACCCTTATGTTACGTGAACCCAGAAAATTGCACCTCGCTGCACTGAGCTGTGCGGACAAAACACGCCCGCCCTCTTGGAGGAGAGATGGCCAGTTGACCAGTTACGATGCAGTGCAAGAGAAGGGACTGCTGTGCACAGAGTCACCAGGAGCATTGACAGGATCAAGAAAGGCTTCCCTGGGGCATGGAGCCACCCTGAATGCCAGGCTCCACAGTCCGGGGAGAGGACAGAGGCCCAGAGGCGGGACAAGCCTCCAGAGTCCTTTCCTTGCCCCCTGTGCCCACCTGGGGCTGCATTTATTTCCCTGTGGCCCTGCCCCTGATTCAGAGACACCAGCTATCACTTCTGAGTCTTGGAACACAATTCAACTCACAGCAGACCCTCTCTGCTGTGTTTCATGGGATACATTTGGGCATCCGTTCTCCCAGAAGACTCGGGAACTTCAGGCTGATCCCAGACAGCCTCTCCTTTGGTTTGTCTACTGAGCAGCTGGCCAACCATCTCTAGCCCTGTGGTTTCTCGGGCGGGAGTCAAGCACCAGTCTGCCACCCCACAGTGCAGGGATCCCATACACATCTCCCCAAGAAGCTCTGACGAAGCCCTCTCTTGGGCTTCTTGATGCGAGAGACAGGCACCTCACAGAGGGCATTCAATAAATAAATCCTTGGGCACCTGGGTGGCTCAGTCGGTTGAGCGTCAGACTTCGGCTCAGGTCATGATCTCACAGTTTGTGAGTTTGAGCCCCTCTGTGCTGATAGCACAAAGCCCACTTCAGATCCTCTGGCCCCTTCTCTCTCTGCCCCTCCCCCCCCCCAAAATAAACATTAAATAAATAAATAAATAAATAAATCCTTCCCCAGAATCTTCCCGTTAACTTCCAATAAACTGACAGCCACAAAAAAGAGGCTGTAATATTTGTTTTGTTTTGTTTTTTCAACGTTTATTTATTTTTGGGACAGAGAGAGACAGAGCATGAACGGGGGAGGGGCAGAGAGAGAGGGAGACACAGAATCGGAAACAGGCTCCAGGCTCCGAGCCATCAGCCCAGAGCCTGACGCGGGGCTCGAACTCACGGACCGCGAGATCGTGACCTGGCTGAAGTCGGACGCTTAACCGACTGCGCCACCCAGGCGCCCCAAGAGGCTGTAATATTTGTAATACAAGTTTTTAAATGTTTCCTCATAAAATTTGCCTTTTGCTCTGGTGACTCTGAGAACTGATACCTATCATCCTAAGATCTTAGCAGAAACTTCTTCCCTGTCACACCCCCTCCTCAGAGCTGAGGAACTGGAGACCAAACAGCCCTTCACAGATGTCCTCCCCAACTGTCCAGTCAGAGAGGACTCTAGGAGAAAGAGGTCTCCCAGCTTGGCCCCCAACAAGGTCCTCCCTGCTCTGGGGGCATCTCTACTATTAGCAGAAACCTGTGTGGTAGAGAAGGAAGTGTGATGGGCCTGGTGTATGGCCACTTCCTTGATGCGTGACCTCACACAAACTTTTGAGCTGAGATTCATTTCATCATAAAATGGAGATTACAAGTAGTAATAATACAGTCCCAATTTCCCCGAGTCATTGTCCGAATTGTGTTGAGTATAGGGGCACCTGCATGGCTCAGCTGGTTGAGCATCTTGACTCTTGATTTTGGCTCAGGTCATGTTCCTAGGGTCATGGGATAGAACCCTGCATCAGGCTCCACACTGAGCATGGAGCCTGCTTTAGATTCTCTCTCTCTCTCTCTCTCTCTCTCTCTCTTTCTCTCTCTCTCCCTCTCTCCCTGTGCCCCTCTCCCCCACTTTCACTCTCTCACTCTCTAAAAAAAATTTTTTTAAATGTGTTGAGTATAACCCAAGTGGATCCAGTGAATTCATTCAGCCTGTGGACAAGTCTTAACTGAAGGCTCCTGGGAAGCCCAGGGCTTCTGGGAAGGATGGGGGTCTTGCCTTTCAGAAGGTTTACCATCTCACTGGGCAGAGAATATGCACATGGCTGAAAACAGACATAACAACCCATGTCAGGTAAAGCCACAGGGAAGATTTGCAGGCTGGCCAAGAGTCCCCAGTCAAAAGAAGCACAGTATAACTCAGTAGAGGAGACAAGTAATCCTGATTTGGGGCCATCTCTTAGAGGAGGTGGGCTCAGGGTAGGGCCCCAACAGTAAGATTGAACTGGGAGGGGGATGGTGGGAATGAGGAAGAGGAATGACATTTCTCTTCGTGGTCTTCCTGAGAAGGACTGGACAAGTGTCCATGGTAAACAGAACTACACATTTGCCCCTCATGTTTATATATTTAGATTCACAAACCAGATGGCAAAGTAATTCAGGGGCTAGTAGTCCTCTGAGCAACATTGGTAGCTCATTAATACGACCTGGGGGACTTTAAGAACTACTGAGGTCTGGGTCCTCCCCCAAGAGACTCCCGCACGGTTGTTTTGGGATTTGATCCGGGCATTGGGATTTTAAAAGCACCCAGGGGATTCTAATGTGCAGCAGGGTTCACGACTATTGCCTCTCAAACCTCAGTGGGGGCAGTATGGCTTCTGTTTAAAAGCAAAACAAAACAAAACAAAAAAAGTGTTAAAAGAGAAAGCAACTTTATTTTTAAATACCAGAATGCCAGGGTGGGGTGCTGGTGTCAGATTTCCCCACTACCTTTGCCTACCTCCAGCCACTGCCCCCACATTCTTCCAAGCTGTTCCAGTAAATTCAAGCTCCTGCTCAAAATGCTGCTTTCCCTTTCTGGAAAATTCTACTCCCAGGGAACTCCCTCCCGACTCTGGAGGCATCTCGTTCTTAGTGCTTTGCCACGCTTGTCGAAGTGCTCTGATCCTCCAACATCGTACAGTTTTGCTCAAATGTCATCACACTGCGAAGAATTTTCCAGAAAGGCCGAAGGAGCCCTTCCCAAGGAGGCCACTGCAGCAGTAGAGGCCAAGTGGAAAGCGCGCTGGGCTTGGGAACCAAGATCCCCTGGCCCAAGTTCTGACGTGACCACTAACCAGCTGCCCCTCTGAGCCCAAGCTTCCACATCTGTGAAATGGGCGAGACCTGGGTGACCCCAGGTTCCTCCTCACCATGGCTCTCAGAGACTTCAGGAGCTGCTCCAAGCTGAACACAGTGGGGCCTGAGTACGGCTCACCTCCAGGCTCTGCTTCCTGGGGCTTCTGCCAAGCCCTGGGCCTCCTGCCCAGTGAGCAGCGGGCACAAGGGGCCTCCACAGAGTCTCTGCGCGGTTCTCCTAGGGGGGCGGGGGCGGGCAGGCAGGGAACCTCACAGACCTAACACAAGGCCCCGTCTGTGTCCAGGTGGAGGGGGAGTGGACTGAGCCACCCACAGGGACGCTACCTTGCCTCTGGATTTTTCCGTGGCCTTTTTCAGAGGCTTTCATTTGATCATCAAATAACCGCTCAGCAGTAGAGACCGATGAGGACAATTAGCTCCATTTCACATATGAGGACGCCAAGAAGCTGAGGTGCAGTGAGGCAAAGTGGAGCGGGGGGATGCAGTGTGTCAGAGCGGTCAGGAGTGTCTGCTACTCTGACATTGAAACTGTCTTTAAAAAATGTATATGGAACACCGCGAACTTGTGTGTCATCTTTGCACAGGGGCCACGCTAACCTTCCCTGTATGTTCCGCTTTTAGTTTGTGCACTGCCAAAGCGAGCACTCCATTTAAACTTTCTAACCCTCAATTTTCTCACCTAAAAAAGTAAATACTCTTAACACTCCACTAGGCCTGCCCACACTTTGTGGTGAGGCAGGCTCAGAGACACCTTTGGTCATGAGGTGGGACCCAGGAGTCAAGTCAGTGCAAAGGCAGGGCCCTGAGAGACCCACGATAGGCCAAGTGGTGTTCTAGAATTTTCTATATTTCATCTCCTGTCATCCTCATGGCAGCCCTATCCGGCACCCTTGGCCCCACTTTGCAGAGAGAGAATGAGAGGTTGAGAGTCTACACACAGGGGCCAAACTCAGGTTCAGAGTCACGTTCTCCCACTTTCTCCCTGTGATGTCTGTCCCCTTGCATGTGGGTGTAGTTTAAGAGGCAAGTTCTGATTCTGTTGTCCCCTCCATCCATCAGACAGACAGATGGCCTGCAGGACGTGGTCAGGCTCAGCCCCAGGTACCAACGCAGGCAGGGAAACCAGGGAAGGAAACTGCTGAGTTTGAGAAACTTATACTTCAAAATCATCTCTCTCCTCAGACCAGAGGGAGTCTTTACAGAGAAATTTTACAGAGATTAAAGAGTTCCATACTTTTTAATAACCTAGGAAAACTAGAAGAGGAGAGACTTAAACATTCATCAAATCTCCAGGGGAAGAATATCTTTTATTAAACTTGGAAATCACTGATAAAATCACAAAGGAGAGATTAGCGAGTTTGACTAGAGAAAAATGTAAATTTTCTGCCTTAAAAAAAATAAAAAGGGGCAAGTGGAGAGAAGTATTGGCAGCAAATAGGGGAGATAAAAGGTTACTCTCTGTTTTATGTATTTATACTCTGCCTCCTTCCTAAAAAGTTTTGAGGAGGGCATATTAATAAAGAGCTCATACAAATGGAAAGTTTAAAAACAAAGAGGGGCTCTTGGATGGATCAGTCAATTAAATGTCCAATTCTTGATCTCAGCTCAAGTTTGATCTCAGGGTCGTGAGTCCAAGCCCCACGTTGAGCTCTGTGCTGGGCATAAAGCCTACTTTAAAAAATAAAATAAGGGGCACCTGGGTGGCTCAGTCGGTTAAATGTCCAACTTCACCTCAGGTCATGATCTCATGGTTCGTGAGTTAGGGACCCATGTGGGGCTCTGTGCTAACAGCTCAGAGCCTGGAGCTTGCTTCACATTTGTGTCTCCCTCTCTCTCTGCCCCTCCCCCACTCCCCCTCTGTCTCTCTCTCAAAAATAAATAAACATTTTTTTTTAATTACAAAAAAATAGGGGCACCTAGGTGGCTCAGTCGGTTAGGCATCTGACTTCGGCTCAGGTCATGATCTCGCAGTTCTTGAGTTCAGGCCCCGTGTCGGGCTCTGTGCTGATGGCTCAGAGGCTGGAGCCCGCTTTGGATTCTATGTCTCCCTCTCTCTCTCCGCCCCTCCCCCGCTCATACTCTGTCTTTCTCTCTCTCTCAAAAATAAACAATAATAAACAATAAGACAATGAATAAAAAATAAAAATAATTTGTTAATTACAAAAAAGAAAAGAAAGTAGCAGGTAAAAATAAATAAAATAAAAAGCAGGATAAATATTGTAATATTCATAATATATCATTCATAGTATGACTATAGCTATGTGAAAAAATACATGTGTGAAAATATGAGAAAGGTAGGTCTGCCCCCAACATGTGCAGACCCCGGGGCAGGGGTAGAGAGACCACATACCAAATGCCTAAATATTAAAGAAATAATTACCAACTATTTATTAATTTAAAACTAATAATTTACATTAATATAAGCTGAATGTAAATATGAGATATTTAAATTATATTATTTGTGAAACAATAAATTATTAACTAATTCAAACTAACAAATCATCACATAAAATGTCAAATATCCTCTTACCTTGCGATAAGACTGCATATTGTCCCTAGAACAACCAAGAAGAAAATAACACCATTTAAAAACCAACAAAGAAATTAAAATGGTAAGCTAGAAGAGTATCTATTTAACACCAAAGAAGTCAGTAAAGGAGAAACAGAGGAACAAAACAGACATGAGCTAGGTCAAGAACAAATATTGAAATGGTAGATGTAAAGCCAATCGTATCAATAATTACTATTATGGGCTGAATGCTTGTGTCCCCCCAGATCCATAGGTTGTAGGTCTCCGCCCTGCCAAATGTGATGGTATTTGGAAGTGGTGCCTTTGGGAGGTAATTAGATCAAGTCATGAGGGTGGGACCCCCATGATGGGATTAGCGTCTTCATAAGAAGAGAGAGGCCAAATCACTCTCTCTGCCACATGAGGAGGGAGAGAACAGGCAGCCATCTACCAACGAGCACCTTGATCTTGAACTTCTCAGCCTCCGGAACTGTGAGAAATAACTATTGTTTAAGCCGCCCGGAATATGGTGTTCTGTTACAGCAGCCCGAGCTACTAAGACAATTACATTGAATCACAGCAGCATTATTCACAATAGCAACAGACGAGAAATAACTCAGCTAGTGAATGGATAAACAGTAGAAGAGTAGTTAGCAATTAAAAAGAAACAAGCTACTGATACATGCCGTAACATGGATAAACTTCAAAAATATTATGCTAAGTGAAAGAAGACAAAAGTGAAAGAGTCCATATTGTATGATTTCATTTGCGTGACATGTCCCAAACAGGTACATCCAGAGGAGCTGGCTGGGGCTGACAGTGTAACAGGAGTGGACCAAAAATGGCCATATGAGGTTTTTTTGGGGTTTTTTTGGGGGGGGGGAGGGGATGGAAATGTTCGAAATCTAGATTATGACAATGGTTACAGTGATGCGCAACTCTGTAAATTTACTAGAAAATCATTGAACGAAGCATTTAAAATTATACCTCAGCAAATCAGGTTTTTTTTTAATGTGCTAAAATTTTAAAAAAACTGTGCTGCAAATGATACCATCAAGAAAGTGAAAAGGTAACCCACAGAATGGGATAAAATATTTGCAAATCATCAATCTGACAAGGGACCTGTATCCAGAATATATAAACAACTCTTATAATTCAATAAAAGGATAACCCAATATAAAAATGAGCAAAAGAGCAAAATAGACATTTCTCCGAAGAAGATGTGCAAATCTGTCTCTCCCTCTCTCTCTCCCTCTGCCCCTCCCCCCACACATGCGTGCACAGGCACTCTCTCTCCTCTCTCTCTCAAAATAAATAAATAAACTTAAAAGGTGGAGGGGGGTGAAATGGAGAGCAACCAATTAAGAGACTCCAGAAATGGAGTATGCAAAAAGCATAGATAATCTGAATGTGCCATTGACACCTCCAACCCACCACGTCCAAGATGGAAGTCAGTCGGCTTCACCTTCCCTACACCACCTCTCTGCCTGTGTCCCTTGTCCTAGTGAATGCCATCTGCATGCCCACGAATCAGCCTGGACTCCTCCCTCTCTCATATCCCCAACAACAGACTTCTCTACAAATCCGGTCCATTTTCCCTCCTAAATGTTTCTGAATGTACTTGTCTTATTCCTCTGCACCACCCTTCTCCTCAGGCCACCATCATCTGTTGCTGGGATGGCTCCTACAGCCTCCAAACTGGCCTCCCTGCCTCTGCCTGGTCCCCTTTCAATGCTCCACACAGCAGCCAGAGCCATTCATTTAAGTTACAGCCAACTGGGGACTCCCCACTGACCAACCCCTTTCAGGACATGGTCTCCGGCCTCACATCTTCCTGCCCCAACCCCCAGCCATTCCAAGCTGCTTTTAGTGCACCAAATGCAGCAAGACCTCTTTCCTTTCTGGACCTTTGCACATGCTGCTTCCTCTGCTCTCCCCTTTTGCCCTCTTTGTTCCTGCTGTGGGAGCTGGAGAGAAAGTGCTGAGGAGGCTGGGGGACAAGAGAAAGGGGTTGGGAGAGAGCTGGGAGCCTCATGTGGTAAATGTGCTCCTGTCTGCCCAGCGCTTGCCCTCTCCTGGAATAGCAGCCCCCCTTTTGTGGAACTGCTCCCCACACTCGGCTGTGTGAGCCAATGGGAGCCACCATCTTACACAGTCCTGCCTCCCTGCCACACTTGTCCACCCTGCTGGCCTCGGCTCTGCATTCCAGCCTGCAGGAAGGGGGGTGGAGGAAGTGTAGGGCATGCAAACTCCTTTTAAAGAAGTAACACAGAAGTTGCACGCATCCCTTTCATTCCATTCCATCAGTAAAAATGTCATCATACTTAGCTGCAGAGTAGAGTCTCTAGTTAGTTGGACTTCTGCCGTTACTAAAAAGTTCCATTCCTAAAAAGAAAAGGGGGATGGTGGCTCACGAGGGATCACAGCTCCAGCCACACACCCCTGAGAGCCACCAGAGTCTGCCTCCAGGGCCTGACTCTATACTTGGGGGTGCTGGAGGCTCACATGCATGGGGACTGTATCGGGTATAGCAGAAAACCACCCCCAAATCTAGTGGCTCAAAACAACAGCTGTGTTCTTGGCTCAGTAGTGTGTAGGTCAGCAGTTTGGCTGGGCTCAGTTGGTGGTTTGTCCACTGGGCTTCCCTGGGGTCATGCATGCAGCTGTACTCACCTGGTGGTTTGATTAGGGCTGGATGATCTAGCATGTTCTCACATATCTAGCAGTCAGCAAGCTTAGGGCTGAGATACTTCCGTTCTCAATGTGGCCTCTTCAGCAACTAGCTCAGGCCCATCCACATCATGATGTCCGCCTTCCAACCATGGCCAAAGAGAGGGCAATCCTCACGCCCAAGTGTGTTTCAAGCCTCTGCTTACACTTGCTAAAGTCCCATTGGCCAAAATAAGTCACATTGCCAAGCTTGGGATTCAAGGGAGGAGAGACAACTTCACCTCTTGATGGGAAGAGCCGTAAAGTGACATTGCTAAGGCACATGGGAAGAATTATTCAAAACATCTCCATGAAGAGTCTTCGGCGGTGACCTCAGACTCCACCCATAGAACAAGGAATGTCTTTCTTGGTTCTTTCAGGCTCCTGTGGGGACACGAGTGGGGGAGCATTCTTGTGGGTTGAATGATGGACCCCCCACCCCCAAAGATATGTCCATGTCCTGATCCTTGGAATCTGTGAATAGGACCTTATGTGGAAAAAGGGGACTCTGCAGAGAGGTGATTGAGGATCTTGAGGTGAAATCATCCCGGATTATTCAGGTGGGCCTAAATCCAATAACAAGTGTTCTTATGAGAAACGTACAGAGAAGACAGAGAGGAAACCCATGTGAAGATGGAGACAGGGATTGGAATTTTGCGGCCACAAACCAAAGATCACCTGGAGCCACCCAAAGCTGGGAGACACGGGGAAAGATTCTCCCCCTGAGCCTCTGGAGGGAACGTGGCCCTGACACCACCTTAATTTCAGACGTCTAGCCTCCAAAACTGTGAGAGAATAAGTTTGTTATTTTAGGCCACCAAGTCTGTGGTAATTTGTTACAACAGCTCTAGGAAATGAAAATAGGCTCACTGCTAAAAACACAGCCACCTGGGAGCAGAAGCCTGTGCAAGGCAATTTCTCTGAGAAGGCCACACCTCCTTCCCCTACCAGTAAGCAGACCCTCTCTGCTCTTTCCCTCCCAGGCCTGAGGCGTGCAAGGCAAGAGGGCCTGCACCCCAGTGTGCTACCCTTCCACACTCACACCCTGAGGCTTTCGAGGGTCCTCGGGAGTAAAAGGAGGGAGCAAGGTGAAGGTTCAAGAGAGGATTATAAGATCCTGGGAAGTGTTGTGTTTGGTTGTCTGTGTCTGAGGCAGCAGAGACCCGAGCATCCTTTCAGAGGCCTGGGGAAGGATCCAGAGGAGGCCTGAAGAGTCCCGTCCTTCATGCCAAGCACACCAGTCTTCTGCTCACGCAAATCAGAGTCGTGACAGGTTAGGACTCAAAGGACCTTTGCATTTAGCCCCTCACTTTGCAATGAAGAGGCAGAAGGCAGAGGGAGGAGTGACTTACCAGCGCCCCCTACAGGTGCCTGCTCACAATATCCAGTCCAGTCCTCTCCCCACTCTGTGGTGTGCCCTGGGCAGAGACAAGTATTTTATTCAGCTGCCTTTATTCCTGTCTCAACACATCGTAAGACTGCTCTGCTACTTCTCAGTTCCCATGCCCTTTCCCTTCTTCCGGGGACACAGTGGTTTATGAACCCCTTGTTCCTGCCAAGGGCAGCCAAGAAAGTGGGAGTGGCCGCTCGAGGGGCACTGGTCCTCTGGCCTGGCAGGACCATCGCACCTTGCCTGCCTCTGCAAGGCCTCTGCCTCCAGCAGGACACCCAGGGTCTTTAGCTCCCCCTGCCCCTTGCCGTGTGGTCCTGTTAGATGTGGGCAGCAAAACGAGAAGCCACAGGCAATAAAGAGCAATCCATTTGAATATGGTCATTCTATAAGAGCTAGGAAGAAAAAAGTTTAAATTACCTGATTTTTATTAAGAATGGGAACAAATGTGGGGCACCTGGGTGGCTCAGTTGGTTAAGCATCTGACTCTTGATTTCGGCTCAGGTCATGATCTCACGGTTGGTGGGTTCAAACCCCACATCAGACTCTGTGCTGACAGTGCGGAGCCTGCTTGGGATTCTTTCTCTCTGCTCCTCCCTTGCTTACACTCTCACACTCTCTCTCTCTCTCAAAAATAAATAAATAACCTTAAAAAAAACAAAGAATGGGAACAAATGTTAAGTATAATCTTTTAAGACAAATTACAGTTGATATTTTGGATAAATTATTAATACTGCCTTTTACTGGACACTTTCCTATGTCCAGCCTGAGGTTTTACACATATTATACTGTTTAATCTTACCAACAATGCCATGGTTAGGTTATGGTTAGCCCTGCCCCGTTTTGTAGACTAGAAGCCTGAGGCTCTGCGTTCAAAGCTGAGCCATTCTCTTTCTGCCTTATCACCTGGCTCCTCCCTGACTAGAAAGGAGGAAGAGAGAATAAGGGGGAACGAGAAAAGCAGCGGAGGAGGACAGAAGAGACCAAGGAAGAAGTGGGGAGAGACACGCGTGCAGGTAGAAAGTGGGGGAAAGGAGGGAACCCGCACGGGTGATGCAAAGTTGGAGAAACTCTCCTCTCCATCGCCTCTACGCAGACCGTGTGCTGCAGAATGTGACCCCCGCCCGTGGCCACACCACTTAGCTGGCTAACCACTGTTCACAGCTCTTCAACAACTCCTCATTCTCCAGCCTTCTGAGACTCCGCTGTGAATGGAAAAAGCCACAAAACTCCACTGGGTAAAGAACTCTATGGGCTGCCGCATCCATGCTCAGAATAATGTTACACTGGAAAACAGATCAAACCAAGCAGAGGGGCAGCTCCAGCCCTGGGCTAATGCTCATGGGATCGCGTTTGCCCTTGTGCCACAGGGCGCTGGTGAAGGCTGTCTTGGACCCTCTTCTGCCTCTCCTTCCAGACTCTTCCCTAAGCACCCTCAATCCCACCCTGGTATCCTACACTTCCAGCTACTTCTGGGATAATGACAGGCTCAATACCCCCCTACCCTCCCGGCTCTGTGTCTTGTGAGAAAGCATCTAGATTGATGAAGCAGGGCAGGGACACGTCCCACTCTGGGTACGCGTGAGGCCAGGCGGACTGGGAAGACCAAAGGGGGCATGTGACAACTGGTCCACATCTCATGCTATCTGAGATTTCCAGAGCATAGGCTGGGCCCTCACAGGTCCTGTAAGCCAATCCCTTCATTTAATCGAGGAAACTGAGGGTCAGAGAGATGAGGGCAGGAGCCCAAGGCCCCGCTGTCTGCACACTTGCCCAGAGCCCAGCACCCAGCCCTCCCCTCTGGCAGCTGTGCTCTCCCCCAGCCCCTGGCGCCCAGTGAGCCAGCGGGAGCCTCACATGTGATTATAATTACCGTGGGCTTGGCCTGAGCCCAGCCATACCGTGCACACATCCAGGCCTGGTTGCTGGCCAAGTTTCCATCTGGGTAGAAAAATGAAAAGG